TTCCCTGCAGAAAATGCACCCAACCCATTTCTGCAAACTCCCACATCCTCCTGAGGTTCCTGAAGTCACAGCCTTCCAACAGCAACAAAGTTCTACATAGGCTCCCCCTTAGAAAACTTGCCTGGAAAAAGAAACTGCTGGGAAATAAACAGTGCTAGTAAAGAGAACAGCGTATCACAAATTCTCCTTACTGACCACAGGCCACCTCTGTAAGAAGAAAGGCTGCACAGCCATCTGGATTTTGAATCAACCAGACAGGAATCCTCTCTCAGACAAGACCTTCTTTCTTTATTGCTAGGTATTTTAATGATTTTACAAGATCTTTGCTTAAAGGGCAGAGGAAAAAATACATTTTGTAGCTTTAAAGTACCAAAGTTAATACACTATGTTCATTTTTTTTCCTCAACTTCTACTGCATCTAAATTTTCTGCCTACTGCTTCCCAGACAAATGACTCCAAGAAACAGCAGAAGCTCCGCTTAGATCTGCCTCTACACACATAATTATCTCCAAACAAACATTAAAAATACTCCTGAAGAAGCAGGAGATGTTAAGTAGAAGCTCGAGTTAGCCCTTGAGAGTGTCTGACCCATGGAGCAGCACTGAATTATGAATGAACGTGGCTGGCTTTGCATTTTAAGAACATGATGCAACAGAAGGTTCCAATGTATGAATTGGAATAATCAGATTTCTCAGTGTCACCCAGAAGCACAACTTTGTAATGTGAAGAGCAAAACCACCCAGAAACATCTAAACTACTCCAAATGTTCCTACAAAGCATTCACATTTGAATTCTTAAGAAAAGGGAAACAAAGCTGGATTCCATTTTTGCATAGTGACAGGAAAACTGAAAAGGAAGTAGGTACCAAATGTACAGACAACAAAACCTTCAATGCAGATTCATTTTTTCCTACAAAAGCAAAAGCTTTACCTTAATGCAATCAAATAATTCCTTAAGCACATTCCATATGCAGTTGCAGAAATGCTGTTTTCATGCAAGAACAGTCACAGCTTGAGAAATACTCAAGTCATTCATCTACTGCACCAATTAAATACATATTCTGAAGTTTGTCGGGTTTTGATTTAGAGGTATCTTAAGACATTTAAACTAGCACACAGGTAAAAACGGAAACCAGGATTTTCAAGAAAAAGGTAGACAGTTCTTAGGTACTTAGAATTTTTCCAAATCAATCACAGTCTCACAGTCCAAATTAATGTGGCCAGCTTTTCAGATTCCTGTGTTTTAGAAGTCAGGCACAGAGAGAAATAACATTCTGAAATACTTGAGCCCCATATAATACAGCTTATATTGCTCTACCAAAAAATGGTGAATGGCAAGGGTCTTTTTCTCCATTTGATGAGAAGTTTTTAGAAGTCTCAAAGTAATAAATGATCATGGCTTTATTAGCCTACAAGCAACTCAAAGGTAACATGAATATAAAACAAAGCAAATACCTGGTTGCGCCCAAGGTTGCTGCGAAAGGCTGTACTTGGGACCTCCTTGAGTGGCCATTGTTTTTAAAGCAGCTACCTAAAACAAGTACAATCAACAAAATGATGTTTCTTTCAGTTCAATTCACAATGAAGTGACCAAGTAACAGTTCCACAAGTCTCTCAGACACTGCAGTGTACGGAATCTCCCTTGCTCGCTCTCTTCTATGCCCTGACTTAACACCACACAGGGGAAGTGGCTTGACAGAAATGCAATTCAAAATTACAACCATGATCACTTCTTGAAAGTAAAATTCAAAATGGGATTAAATTTACAAAGATGCTGAGGCACCTAAGGATACAAAACCTCAAAAGAGATTTATACTTAAGCAGGTTAGTCAAACTCCCCAGATTCCTAATCAATCACTGGGATCACTTGGATAACCTACCAATCTCACCGGTTACCCATCTATATTTTACGCATGCCACTAGTCCCTCAGCCCAGCATGACAGGCATCAGTGAATTTAATACTGTAATCTTCTAAATTCTCAAAAAACAGCAGCTGGGATACTTGTTATGTCCATGCAATGCTGTTGACCCAGCTTCTGAGATGTCATGCCACTTATTCTCAGTACATAAGGATCCACATCACACTTTTTCCAGAAGTAATAGATCCTGCTCCATGGTTTTCTCAAGATGCCTAGAAATCCTGAGCTCTAGAGCAGGTTCTACAAAGAAGTGTATTGTAACAAGACATCTTTTTTGTTCCTATCCCCTAGGATGCCTAATCTTTCTGATCAACTTTTACCAGGAATTTCTGTCACAAACAGGACTTGGGAGGAAAGTCCTGCTCAGCAAGCACCTCACTGCTGTAAAATACGCTGAGAACAGAAACTTTTAACACACTTCACAGCCATACTCTGAGACCTCCCTCAAGAACACGCATGACCTAAGATTGTTTTTGAAGGCTTACAAATTCAGTCAAGGCAGGAGTTTTCTGGCAAACAGAAAAGCTCCTGCCGACTTTCACAGACCTGTTTCGACTCAATGAAACATTAAAGCTTCTTTATCAAAGAGCATAAGTGTTGCTCTTAAACTATGTCATGTTCCTTTAATCCATTAATCTCAAAAATGCCTGGAAAATTGTTGTTGGAACTTAAAGGGAAGCACGACCTTATAATGGGAAATGCCATTATCTTCAGCTAATCAGACAGAACTAACAGGTTCTCCTACACGCAATTCAAATACTAATTCCCTTGTCCTGCCAGCATTTCAGTTAGGGTAACAAACACGCAACACGTTTGTACCTTTGTCATGAACTCCTCCAGCTGTTCTATAAACTGTTTGGTTTGCTGCTGAATAAACTGCTCACAAGCTGATTTCAGATGACGATCTACATCTTTCTTAGAGTCAATATAGTGTTCTCTGATTTCTGGAGTACCCTTGAACAGAAGACAACAATTCTCTCCTTTTTATTTGCCAGAGATCACCACCCACTTAAATGACCCAATTTTTCTTATGCAATAAGACTCTATATTACCTCCAGCAAGAACTGTATCAAGGCGTTGTTGCTGTTTAGTCTAAAAAATCTTGAAACTGTCTTAGGGTTCAGGATTTTAAACGCTGCATCTGTGAATCAGAAAGTCACTCCCGCTGTAAGTCAAAGGGATTCAGCTCCAGGAAGTAAAAACTTTTATCACTCATTTTTGCATAAAAAAAAATGGCCTAGCATGATTGGGAGTATAACATTAATGATTCCACTACCACTAGGTGCAAAGACACAAGTGCACATGCACAGAAGCACATAAAGCTTGATCCACTATTTTTTAATTGCACGTACGGTAAACCTGAATCTAACAGCTGCACAGTCAAAACAGATTAATACATTACATGAACCTAACAAACGACAGATACTAGCTGTAGTGCTATCAGCACGCAAATTGTGTGAGCTCTTTTCCTTTTGTAACTATATCTACAAGTGAAAGACTTTTACATAAGCTATGTAGTTAAGCATTTACAAACAATATGCAGAATTTGGCCCATGTTGCCTGGGAAAGCCAAGTACAGTTGCATGAAATAACTTAGAACTGGCACCCTTTTCCTCTGTGCTTAATTATTTTAGTTAGGACTAAACAACAAAGCATCAAGGTTGATATACACTCATGTTTATGGTCTCTACAGAAGTCCCAAGAAGGAAAAGCAACCATGTCTGTAATTAACACAAGACACTGAAATTATTCCTACAGTGTTACCACGATGTTGTCAACCTGAAATCTAGTCAAACTGGCAAAAAGAAAATTATCAACACAGTTTCAGTATGGCTTATTGCCCTAATGTCATTCATTTATCATCCTACACATCCATCTGCATTTTTCATTTCAAAAACAATTCTGCACCCCTCTTGCTGTATAAAACAACAGGAGGGAAACAAGACATAAGAGTTAAAGAAATGCTGTCAAAGGTATTAAACAAAGAAGGAATACCGGATATGCAGGCATGTAGGTTTTGCACTGAACTAAGAATCTGCACTCCTATGCAGTTAAAGGAGACTGCAGAGAAAGATTCATTTTGTTCTCTGAATTATTTCCCAGAAGCTTCATTGATTCCAAAAAGAGTCTTAAGTTCTCCATTAGAAGCTTATGAACTAGTCAGTGTGAAAGTCACTTCTCACCACTGTATACTTCAGTTACATGAACCTTAGCATTATACTACTTTAAAAAAAATATTGGACGGAAGCATGACTTTTACATTAAGCCGTGTCCCTTTATCTATAAATCCCAAATTAAATCTTAAATCTATGTGCAGAAAGCTTGGCTAGAACACAGTAAAACTCTTATTAGCCATGTTATTTTTCTTCTACAACTCACCCCAAATATAAAAGCCCTACTGGCCTATGCTACACTACATTAAGAATTAAGCACAACGCACATCTTTTCAACACACACACATACACACCACACACCCCCCCAATATAAAGAAAGTGTTTTCCATTACTTACCACTACCACTTGCAAAGCACTGGCTGGCACAAAAATTTATTCAATTAAATGAAGGTGGAGAACAAATTTGTGTGTCAGCCAGGACAAGACACCAAAAGGATGTATTTGCCCTTTAACCTCCAGTCAACTAGAAACTACTCAACAGGTAGGAGGTTTCATTGATGTTCAAATGCAACAGGTGAAATGGTTAGTGTAGGAATTGCTTGCTTCAGAGTTAAAACAGCAGCATATTAGATGCCAGGAAAGAAAAGTTATTTCTTCAGCTTTCTCTTCTCGAATGGAAGAAGAGAAACTTGACATGCTTCCAATTATTTTTCCCATTATCTTTATAAACTTGATAAGCGCATGACAGTTCACTTTTGTACTGAGAGGCTTTTTTCTGCATTTTACAAAGGAATCATAGTGCAATTTTAAAAGTCATGACCGTGGCCACTACTCTCTATTTTCCCTTCCTGCAACAGACACAGTTGCTACATAAAACTATACAACAATACTGCTTATTCAACTTGCAACATAAGAAATCCTTTCCAAAGCAAAACTTCAGAGAAAGGTCTAGGAAATCTTAATTTGTTCTAACGAGTCACCTATGTATTGTTAAATTCACCTGCTAAAGAGCGGTAACAAAAGATATTCCTTTAAAGGGTCAGAAAAGAGGAAAGACATCTCTGTGCAACAGAAATGTAGATTACTTAGCTGTTCTTAAAAAGGACTGGATAAATAAGTTAGGTCAGCAGCAAAAAGCAGTCAAACACATTTCATACAAAAATAAAGAATTTGTTAAACACATCTTGAATCGCCCTAAATAGGAGAATAGTTTCAGGTTTTTTGAGAGAAGGTAAGAACAAAGCAAGAGATTAGAACAAGCATAGAGGTCATTGCAAGTGAACATAAAATAAACCCAGAACTTTTGCTGGCACATTAAGGGAGGACAATCCCATCCCTCTCTGTAGCCAGCAACTGTTTAGTACCTCTAGTTTTCTTAAGGTCCAGGGAAATTTCCTTAATGGTGAAATCAGTGTGGAAAGGAGCAATTTGTTCACGAAGAATCAAAAGGTGTTTTATTAAGAAAAGCTGTCCATCAACCTGGGTCTACAGCACAACAAGAGAAAGAACATGCATTACATGTAAAAAAAACCCCACAATTAAATGAAGAGCAAAGATTCAACACCTTTTACTTCCTATAACAAAATTAATACTAATAATCTTACTAACAAGCTTTTTCCTTTAGTCTGTAGTGCCATTAACTACACTCTGGGATCAACAAATACCACTTCTGTACTGTTCCTAACACATTGCTCTAAAGAAGCAGACTTTATTCATGTTTCTTAGAAGAACTGGATTACACAGCCATATTACTAAATGTGCACATTAAGTACAGGTATCCATTATTTGAAAGATACAAACTTATGAAGAATAAGAGCCAGGAATTACTTCATGTAATTCATATAATTTATAGTTGAAAAACCATGAGGTTCTGAAATTTTTTTAATCATTATGATGATTAAAAAAAAAGCCAAACAGTTAATGTTTCTCTAATAACCTTGATTAACTGTGCTATTGTGCAAAGGTCTTACGAGGCATTTTTCTCATGTCATTAAACACAAAGCTTAGTTAATTTCTAAACAGTACAGCAAAGATACAAAGAATAAAACAAGGCCAAGTTCACACCACCAAGACGATCAGTTTTGCACTGCTTGTTATTTTAGCTATGTGCTTTATACTGCATGCTGCTTTTAATCTTTGAAGTTCATGGCTCATTGAGGTAAATGGAGGACAACTCAGGTATTCAAATTTGCTTTTGCAAGCTAGAAGAGAACTTTCCTTGATATAACATTAAATAAAACAGTAAAGAAGAAATTAGATTCAAATCTGCAGTTTTAACAAATAGAAATGTTTACTAAAAATAAGTGGTGGAAGGGTTTCTTGATTTTTTTATTTTTTTTATTCTTACATGCACTATTTCACCAGATAATGTTAAATTAACATGCATCAAGAACAAAGTGGTACAGATCCTAGTCCTGGGCCAACTTATCTAGGGTTCACTGCAGGGTTCACTGATGAGTTTCATTCTCTGCAATAGTTTAAATCAATGCTGACCCGATATACGGTGCTAGAATGGATAATTAACCGGAGAACTCTGAATCAATTACGTATGAAATAGTTACTTGCTCAAGATAGAAGGAAACAGGGTTTGAATTTCTTTAAAAAGATATTACATTTAACAGATTTTTTTCAAAGGACACTCAGAAGAAATACTTCAAAACAGCTCATCATTTCTAATAGCAACTAAAATTTTTTTCATTACTGAATATTTACTGCTTATACAAATGCAAAAATTTTAGCTTCCTAAAACTGTCCCCCCCCCCTTTTTTTTTTAAAATTCACTTCTTGACTGTCAGAAATTAGCAAAATTACTACAGTATTTGTATTAAAGGAACCGTGACAGGAAAAAAGAAGGTTTACTCCAACTACTTAAAGTAACAAAGTTAAAATGACTTGATGAAACCGCATTGAATTCTGAGCAACACATCACACCAAACCTTTTGATAATAGACAGTTCTGAGAGGAGAATATTTAACAAATCTTCCCAGTGAATTTAATGCTTAGAAAGATTTTTGAAAATTCAAACAATGGAGGCAGAGAAAAAGAGAAAATAGAGTCACAGGCAGTGAAACCAAATATGGAGAGCAGAGATTTCTAGCAAAAATTTTTCTTCAGGTATCACTGATTGAGATCACATGAGTTAGAGCAGCCTGTAAACACGATTGCTGATTTCCATTCTACCTTTTCAGATAGGCTAGCATGTGAATCATTGTCTTTGCTTTACAATACATTAACTGTAACTAAAAGCTGGCAAATCCATCGCCAGATTTCAACAGAATTCTGAACAACTGCTTCAGGGCTTTAGATCTACACGGGGGAAACGAAATCATACCCAAAGCACAGATTCTGACCTTGTTTTTGCTGATAGAATCGGCAGCTCCCAGCAGCGAGTGAATGCAGGCAGATAAGGCCTCCTGCGATAATCCCTGAAACACTGCCCTCTGCAGGGAAGAAGAAATCAGACAAAAAAAAAAAGGTGTTGGCAAAGCTTAAGCAGAATTTAAAAGTTGCAGGTTGTGAAGGATGTGCTTACCAGCACATAAAACTCTAGATTAGTTAGCTACAAACAAGTCTTCTAAATGCAGTAAGACAGGATGGAGCAGTCATATATAAAAGCTTGCTACAGCACGCACTTAGACTGGATACAGGTATACACTCAAGCAGCCACCAAGCCAGGAAACATGAAATTACTACTGCACCCTTAATTGGATTACTGGTGGACTTGATAGTGTTAGATTAATGGTTGGACTGGATGATCTTAAAGGTCTTTTCCAACCTAAATGATTCTATGATTCTATGCCCTGTTCACCCTCCAGCTCTGAATTTGCACCCGGGTGGTGACATGGTCAGTGACCCCTTAATGCATTCACAGCTAACGGCACGAACGATGCTTACTGGGTAACCTGACTAGACACTTCATGCATCAGGGTAACTACCTGTGTCTGCAATTTATACTTGCAACAGACATGAGATCATTCGAGTGAGCTTAACCTCAAGCAAACTCAAATTACCTCACGTTGGTGCCAGGTTAGTAAACAAACATGACAGCTGCCGTGGCCCAGGTGACACGGAGTAACTCATTAAGCTGCAGCAACTAGATCATACGGCTGAGCTAGCCGTAGGAACACAGCTCGCCTCCACCAGCACGCCAGCGTAGCACACGACAGCCCTGACTGCCAAGACTTGCCAGTGCCACTTCATTCATGTCTTCCATCTACAGGGTGCAGGCAAGGCATACCAGTTCTGCTGGAATATCTCAGTGAAAAAAATAAACAAATCGCTGTGCAGACACACTACAAATGAGCCTTGCAAACAACGCAAAGAAGACCTCATCTCCAAAGGTCTAGCTGAAAACAGGGGCAAATGCTCATTTATCTTTAATGAGATTGATATATTAAGCAATAAAGTATTAATACTTTCCAGCTTCTTTTTAAGCAAATGGCATCTTGGTAGCAGTTTCATGTAACACCTATCAAAGATATTTTGAAACGCATTAAATGTATCTAATAAAGATACAACACGTACAGAAAAAGCAAAAACACTTGCATTATGTTTCTCAGAGACTTACTAGCCTTTTATGCTATTAGGTGACAGACATAAACAGGATTCTAAAGGGCAAGTCTCAAAATCATTGTGAAGTAAACACTGCTCTTGTTTCTGTTAGACATGAAGATTCCTACTGTCTTAAACTTTGGAAATGTCTCCTACATTTTGGAAGGTGAAAAGATATGGCAGAAAAAATTTTGGAGAGCATTTCCAAAATGTAGAAGTAGTAGAGTCATCATTTTGAAGACCAGAAACATCACCTCGTCTGATGTCCTGCAAAGCACACAGCAAGAAACACATTCGACCAGTAATTTCAGCAGTAAGACTGTTCTCTATAATCGACCCAGAACTTTCTATTCTTTCTTGTCCTACTCACTCAACTTTGGTGCCATGTACCTTGAGCATCAGACAGTGAAATGTTTCTGTAATAGCAAAAGCAACAGATGTGCAAACCAGTGCCTTTTTTCTTATTCCACACATACAAAACTGTCTTTGGAATGATGACCTAAATTTGTCAGTTCATTTGTCTTACATAAAGATAGCAGCAAAAAGACTAAGAGATAACAGAGGCCAGTAATTGTCCATTCCTAATTTACATTAAGTTATTGAGACATGGTGCTACACATTTCATAACTTCACTTAGAAAATTAGATAAAGAAATTTTTGCATACGTCTATACATCTGTACAGTTTGGAGAGACACACTAGAGTCCTTCTGACAGTAGGATACCACATTCCATGCAGATCTGCTGGTGAAATCGTCGTCTGGTGCCTGGGATTAAGTGATTCTGCTGAAACTGTTTCAAAGTACAATACACACATGAAACCTGTTTAAAAGTAAAATACACACCTGAAAAACTTGCCCATCTGTCCTTTCAACTGAAGGAGACTGCAATATCAACTGCATTTTATACTGACTCCACAGTAATAAGACGTATTTTATTGCACCCAAACAGGTTAGGGTTTGGGTTTTTTTTTTTTTTTTTCCTTCTGAGCAGCTCAGTACTGGATTTCTGATGTGTATAAAGCACATGGCTGTGAAAGACATGAATTCACTTTCAGGGATGGACCAGCTTGACCTTTTTTAATGAGTCAGTTTTACAGGCATGTCTCCAATGACACCACTTCTTAGCTCAACAGCTGAAATGCTCAAATAATTACTGGGGGGGAAAAAAAAGGTAGGAGAAAGAACAGGAAAAAAATGGTTAGTGATCATGGAACTACAGGACATGCTCAGGAACAAAAAAAAGAGGGGGAAAAAAAAACATTCCATCAATTTTACCTCTTCATGCTTTCCTTTCTGCTGGGGATAATCCTACATGGATCAAAAAGTTGCAGAAATTGTAGGGTTTTAACATCATGTTAATAACATGATTTGCCATGCAAAAATAATGGCAAAACCAATTTTGTCATGAGGGGGTTGTAATCATAAAAAAGTACTCCTCCTGGGTAATCTTTGTAATAATTCTGTATGCTCAAAATGGATTTTCACAACACCTGACAGACAGAAGCCCTGTATTGTTTTCATTTTGCCCCTAAACCCTGGGAAACAGCTGAGTCAATAGCATCAGAACTCTGATTCTAATTCGCAACCATTCAAAAAAGTACAATTGTAAAGTTTTACCTAATGATGGAATAAGCACTTGTGAAGTGTTTATGTAATCAGTGCAGGAATTGTCTAAAATAATTCAGCAATATCTTTCTACCTTTTGCAACTATAAATTTATCGTTACAGTAATTAGAAGGCCTGTAAGACCGTAGCTGTCAGTTTGAGGTTCCTAGGCTATTTATGAGTCAGTTCAGCTACTCCTGAAGGCACTGAAATGGGAGAAAGGCACCTTTGAAGGGCTAATAATCCCAATTATCTCAGACACTTATCTTCAAATTACACCGTACAGGTTCCTTCCATCTCCTGAATGCAGGTGGGATTTACAGGACTTGTGAATGCGACACACCTGGCTTGAAGAAAGATTAATTCCCCTCTCAATGGGATTTGTGGAGTCCAGCTAGAAATAGCCAGAAAGACCTTTGCAGGCTTTGCAAGCCAAAAGCAAAATATTACCAGGTAATCAAAAGGAATATGAGAAACAACTGACAAAGAGCCAGGAAAGGTGCTGCTGGGGAAAAATAACACTGTACCATTGTGAACAATGACAAAATAAAGGGAGAAATTCTTTATGGATCTTAGACAAAAATTTAAAGGGTTCTAACACTCAAATAACTGGCATCAAAAGAGCCACGTTTCACGGAATTTGCTTCCAGTTCACTGTAATTTACAAGCACATGGTTCATATAGTTAAAAAGTCAAGGGCTATATTCTGAATTATTGTAAACGGCTAAAATTACTAACTGGTTTCAGTAAGTGGAAACACATTCAAAGGAAGAAGTTGCCTTCCCAGGTAAAGGCACACACAAAGACACTCCTAGATGCTCAAAGCATTCATTTAAGAGACACGCCTGAAAAGCCAAACCACCCTTCTTATCTTAGCACAGTTAACAAACAGAAGCATCCTTAAGTATACATCTTGATGGTAGGGCTACTTTGCAGTAGAGAATACAGAATCTGTTTTATACAAAGTACAATACATGCTGTCAGCTACAAAAGTAGTTGCTTCACAGAATGGATGGCACTGGAACCACAAAGAAATGCCACCAAAAGAACAAGATTAAGTTGTTTCTCATTCCCAAACAAAAAAAAAGTTATTAAGAACCCCAAGACGAAGTTCACCTCTCAAAATCGTTTACAAATTTCTCTAGGAAAATAAACCGTTACCATACATGCATGTTTCTCACTGATGGTTCAAGTTAATGCTCACTCTCCATGAGTTTTATGCATTAGTTTGACAACATGAGATATATTTCATACCAGATTTAACTAAGCTGCAGGACTCGGGATCTTCTAGCCGGACATCTGAAAACGAAGCTTCAGATGGTAGCTTCTTCTGTTCCTCTTTTAAACTCTGTGCAATTTGCTGCAGAGGAAGATATACCACAAAATTTTAATTTTCTTCCCTCCTTAATTTAAGCAGCATTACACTGCTTTGATTACAATAGAAAAAAGCATACTAAATTGCAAAAGGAGTCAGCTACACTCAGCTCCCCAGTGTTTCAAAGACATTAGAAGAAAAAAACAGATGTTTTCAAAACAGTAGCAGGAACATTTCAATATCAATTTAAGATTCTAAGTATTACACAGATCTGTGTAAAGCAGCGTTCTTTCCATTTTGCCTGTTTTTACTGATCTCTAGAAAATAACCACTGAGACCACCTAGAAAGAGAAGTTCAAAACAGGGGAACTCAATTCAACACTCACTTGAATTTCATACAGATAATTTCTGTGATGGTTTTATTCCTATAAATGATATGTGCAGATGGCCCCAAAGTACTCTCTAGTTTATTCCCTGCAGGAGTTCAACAAGAAGCTTTCCCCTAACATTACTCAACACTTCCACACGTCAACCTTTTTCACTACTTGGTCTGCTTCAAAGCAATGACAGGCAGCAAGAATGGACAAAGAACTGCATTAATATTTGAGCAGAACAGCACAAGAAATATTTCTGTGCTGTGCTTTTAACATTTTAATAATTCATTTACTCAGACAGAAGGTCTCTCTAAATAGCAAGGTTTTGAGGTTTAAAAGCAATCAAGTAGCAAAATTAATCTCAAATCAGGCAAAAACTGGAGTCTTACGAGGACATACGAAGAACAGCGCAATTTCTCGATTCAGAATGAACTGTAAAACTCACTTTCTTCTTCCTAACTGAATGGCCATAGGACCCGAGTTTGAAAATAAGGCTTTGTGTAGACTAAGTATCTGCATTGCTTGTCTACAGAAATTATAGCTAACATTAAAAAGTTCTCACAATCATTTTTTTATCCAGTTCTATTCACACAATTTTAGCAAAAAACACCCAAACAAACAAACCTGCACTCCTAACAGTTATACCAGTAAAACTTCTGATCACTAGTTGTTCTGAATGGAGGGATCCCATTTAGCTACATTTTGTGTGGTGGGCTTCTCATATACTATTTTTGCTTTTTCTTCAAAAGCTTCTCAGTCCTTAATCTTCCATTATAAAGGGCAAGTATTCTACAAACTCACTAGCTTCAGGATTTGTAAATGCTTTCCTAAAAATGTATGAATGTCCCTTATAATCACCAAAGCATAAACTGTAACATAATAAAAGCTTTAGACATGTATAAAGACAAGATTATAGCAACGTGAGTTCAGTACTAAGAAGTTTCTCACAGTGATTGTCTGTTTACAGGTGAGAATTGAACGCAGTAAGGTACAGTTATACAATGTTAATTTCTTCCAGCCCACAGCAGGGAAAAAAAAAAAAAAAAATCTGCATTTTATATAAGTAATGCTCTGATTCTGAAGTCAAACAACAGCTTCTTTAGCAACTGGTCAGCTGCAAATAAGTCCTACAACTTCCTAAGCACCACCAGCTATTCTAGTAGATAGATGGAAAGCAGAATAGAGCAATAAAATCTGGATCTTGCCAGTCCATGTCAGAATTGCTGTTCTTAGTCAACTCAGTCCTTTGACAGCTTGGGCCTCTCCTTATAAAGTGAATGGCAACAGTTTGTTTGGGTTGGGTTTTTTTTTTTTTACTCAGGGGGCGGGGCTTAATCCCTTCCATGCAATGCTACCTTTCAGTTGCATATCAAATGCAGTTTGCTCTAGTCAAAAGCTAATTTAAAGTCTTTCATCGGCCACTTTTTTATTTCTGTGAGTAGTTTCATTCTGAAATCTTTCATCAATATAGTATTAACCTTTTAAAGTAAGTAGAATTAGTTTGATCCCTTTCAACAGGAACATTGATGCAAACAGCTTGGAATGACTACAAAAATGGCTAATAGTGATAAGAACTTGACAAAGGCTACTGGAAACCACTGTTGACATGCTAAATTAGCTAAAGGTACAAGCAGGTTTCCCCTCACGCTGCCTCAGCATAGCGTACACACATGTGTACCAAACACTAGTAGACCAGTAATTCTGAATACAAACTTGCAGCTAACTGTGCCTGTCTAAAGCTTCTCTTCAACTCCAGCTCAACTAGAAAATACACTGGGTAATACCTACTACTTATGAAAGTAAATAAAAATGTACTGTTATGAGAGAAAATTTAGAAGCTTCAAGTCTAGATAAAACTCTTAACTGTGAGAACTACTGCCAGTTTTACTGAGTTTGACATAAAGTGTTCTCTGACATCTAGTTTAGGGTCATAATTTAATCAGCAGGTGCCAATTTGATAGTGTCGGTAATACTAAATACACCTAAGAACCGGAAAACCCCATCTGCAAAGCACTGTACTGCACAATTGTATATATTGCATATAAAAAGAACACTAATCAAGGACAATAAAAAAGCTGATGCTATACCTCCATCATTTCCAACTTGTCAGGATATGCAAGATCACCCGGAGCAGGCTTGTAGCCTGTGATATCAGTCTGAATGTAAATATGCGTCCTGTAGACAAGACGCTCTTGTACATCTTCTAACATCTGCTTGACACCAGCTGCAAATGCACCCAGTTGTTCAGCTGACAAAAGTTAAAAAAAAGGCACAAATTTGTTAATTTAATTACAAAACCAGCTTATAGACACAAAAGTTTGAAGCACTGCATATAGAACCGTCACAAAATCGGCTTGCTTCAGATGAGGTCAGACTATTTTTGGAACAGCGGCATCCAGACAAATTTGTGACAAACAAGGAGTTACTGAACTCTGTATTGCAGTTGCTTCAGCTCCCCAAATTTTCATTGCATTGTGCAAATGCGATCTCACACTGATAACATCAGACGCCATGTCAGAATTAAGCATTCTAATTATTTGAGACCTGGGTACATAGAGTGGTATTTCTGCCTGGACATCTGTCCTGGTTTCGGTTGGGATAGAGTTAATTTTCTTCCTAGTAGCTGGTACAGTGCTGTGTTTTGGATTTAGTAGGAGAAGAATGCTGATAACACACTGATGGTTTAGTTGTTGCCAAGTACTGCTTATGCTAGTCAAGGACTTTTCAGCTTCCCATGCTCTGCCAGGTGCACAAGAAGCTGGGAGGGGGCACAGCCAGGACAGCTGACCCAAACTGGCCAAAGGGCTATTCCATACCATATGATGTCATGCTCAGTATATAAACTGGGGGGAGTTGGCCAGAGGGCAGCAATCGCTGCTCAGGGACTGGCTGGGCCTCAGTCTGCGGGTGGTGAGCAACTGCATTGTGCATCACCTGTTTTGTACATTCTTCTTATTATTATTTTCCCTTCCTTTTCTGTCCTATTAAACTGTCTTTATCTCAACCCACGAATTTTACTCACCCCCGCCCCCCCAATTCTCTCCCCCATCCCACTGAGGGGGGGAAGTGAGCGAACAGCTATGTGGTGTTTAGCTGCCTACTGGGTTAAACCACAACATCATCAAACCAACGTGCTTGGGTTCTGTCACAGCTGATGGCTGCAGTGTGACTGTCAGGAGTTGACAAGTTAACTCATCTACAGACCTACCAGCACAGATGATCCAAAGCAGCTCATGTCCAACTTAAACTCAGGCTGATACAGTAGTTCTTAAGTAGCAGAAAGTCACTTCTTAAGATTAACCGAAAGATTATGTCACCAATTTTTTCCTCATTCTCAACAGCATTACAATTCTACTTCTAGGAAAATGAGCAATTCTTCATGATTTTGGCACAGCTTCAGAGACAAAGAGCTACGCTGTGTTACATACCAGCTACCAAGTACGATTTCTGTTTATCGCTTGGTGCAAGATTAAGACTGTGAAATGATTCCATTACGCATTGGTCATACTAAGGAAATGAGATACCAGATTATTTTTTCTGATGGTCAGCTCACTTCTGTGAGACTATGAGCTCTGAATACTTCCAAAACTCCAAAATCTCTACCAGCTACATAACTCCTCTGCTGAAGTATAATTTCTAGTCCGGGAAACACTACATCAAGGAGAATGAAAAAATCAGGTTTGAATTCCTTTGTTTTATCATCATGTATGCAGAAAGCTCTACATGGATGATGCATTAGCTGGGACAAGCGAAGCAACTCATTCCTTTGAGAAGTTCACTTAAATCAGTCCTGGTGCACGTATACGTGCTGGGTGGATGCTTGCTTGCACTTCTACAATCTAGAGAAAATAAGACTCTATAATATCAGTATAGTATACAGATATATATATAGATCAACTATAATTTAAATGAAGTTATACACAGACCCATAAATACAGAGAGTTCTATTATAAATGAAAAAACCATAATTTAAAATAACTTTACCTCATCTTGACATGTTTAAGGCCCATTAGAAAGAAAAAAAATCTAGGGATTTTTTTTGCCTATGCAATTTAATAATTTTATCAGTTAAGAAGACAGTTAAAAACAATCAGGTTCCATCTATGAGTTACCATTGTTCTGTACGTGATCTTCAAGCATCTCATTTTTGAGAATCCCACAGAGTTCAGAAAGTGTCTCTAAGTGAATGACATGGATGATCATTGGCCTCAGGACATCATACAATGAAAGACACAACTTCTCCAAGAGTTCACTATGAAGAAAAAAATAAAACAAAGCAAAAACACTTTCAGGATCCTGCAATACCAAAATAAAATTTTATCACAAACACAGATTATTTTATGGCAAAGATTTTTAAAAGGAGGGTGAGAAAGGACTGTTTAAAATATGAATCCCTGATTTCCTACAAAGTCTTCTAAGAGATGTAGGATACCAACTGCTTAAAATGGTGGTACAGGTTTGAATTCATTTTAAAATAATAAAAAAAAAAAACAAAAAACCCACAACCAACAACTCAACCTGTCACAAAGGGAAGACACTGCAAACTGGTTTACCTGGCTTCTGTGTAAAGAAATGCTCCGGCTGAGCCCAGAATCATACCCCCGACTTCCCCTTGAGAAAAGGCTCACCTGATTCCAAGTACTCTAGTTTATTAGAACCAGGAGCACACAAAGAGGGACACAGGAGAAGCTTGGTAACCTTTTCTGTAACAACTTCCAACACTGCAGGGCGCACTTTCCAATCTAACTGAAGTTACGATATCAAAACAATACGAAACACCAGAAATCCCTCTTTGATTTTTTTTTTTCTTTTCTGTTCAAAGTGATGCATATCTGGGTTAAGACAACAGTAGCACTCATTCTAGACACTTTTGCCATTCTCAATGCTCCCTTCAGTAATCACAGATTAGCTAATAATGCAGCCAGCAGCTGAAAATTCAAGTAATTTCCCAGTTAGACTTGGAAATACGAACACTAAGAATATTTAAGTATTTACAGTGTGGTACAGTTGAGTTTATTGTACTATATAATTTTTTTTCTAATTCAAGAAGAATGTCTGACAATAGGACAAGGACGCTTCAGTTCCTTTCAGAGTGTGGACAAAAAGTGCTCACAGAAGAAATATTTTGAATGTGTCTCTTGTGTTACATTCTATAGCTTTACAAGCAACTTGATAAAACTCTCCCTGTTAAAAGCAGAAACAAAGGAAAAAGTTTCAACAACCTTATTAAATACCACACTCAACCTCAGATCTCTACTCTTGGCTAGATTTTTGGTAAACTCTTTTATCTGTACATAGACAACTAGCTATTATGTCTTCAGAGTGCCTCAGCACTTCAGAAAAAAATGAGGCTATTTATTATGCAGCTAAGAAAAACCTAATAAAGTAGTTACTATTTGGAACATTTTCCTCAAAATATTTTATTTGGATGTAGGCAAAAAAGGGAAGCAAGTTCGTACAAAAGGAGGTAACTACTTTCCACCAAGATTCAAAAATAATCAGAAGTCTGTTCTCATTCTTGGTGTGAAGAGCAAGAGTGATGAAATTTCTGTCTGAACATTTTACACTGATTTCAATTAGGGATGTTTAATTCAGGACTTGGACCGAGATAGCTAAACTGGTTCTTAATGCAATTTAGTTAGGTCACCTCAAATCCTGAGCATGTCCCACAAAAGACCTCAATTTCTCAAAACAGAGAAAGACTGCTGCTACTCAGGCACTATGGCTTATTTCTAGTGAGGCTTTATGCATTAATGGTTTTCCTTTAGCTTTAGAGGACAGGGAGGGTATTTTGTCCATGTTACACTTACTCTATTCAAGCTCTACTTGATTTTAAGATAATACAACACTCAAAATCAGTGTCTCAATTATATTAATAGGAATATACTTTATTTATGAACTTCATAGCAAAGGAACATGACCTGCCCGAATTTCAGAATTAAATATTATTAAAACATACCAGCAAATTGGAGAAGGGGCATAATCTACTCAATTGCTCTAATATTACAGGTCTGTTATAAAAAACTTACAATACTTTTATAAGGCAATTACCACATGAAGACAACAACCTGTCCCTCTCCTAGATCTAGGCAGAGCAGATACAGATACTGTCCTTGCCAGGTGTCCACTACCCTGCCTTCCAGTTCAGCCCACATACAGGCACATGCAAATATTCCTTGACAGTAAGGGCAGCTCACAAACTTCAAATCCTTGATGAAAAGTGGCTCGAGTTCATCAACTTAATTTTACACTGACGTAAATGAAAAGCACTTCTGCAATTGACTGTGCAAACCGTTGGCATAGAGGCAGTACAAGAATAGCTGAGGGCTGTAGCACTCAAATTCTACAGCTATTTCCAAAGCAACTGTGTGTCTTTATCTCTTTCAGACCATCTACAGAGCATTTACATTACTCAGATTATTTATGGAGAATGTAAACTATCAGCTTCACTTGAAATAAAAAGTAAACAAAGTGATAAAGGTTTTTTTTCTTGCTGGTTCTTACCAAACCACTTCAATACAACCCTATTTGCCATATAACATTGTATGCTATATCACAGCACAGTAAATACAACACGCAGTAAAACAAAACCAGCATGTACCACCTACTCCAGTTTTGGTGTCGGTTTTGTGAAGAACTCATTATAAAGCTGGTGTTCATCCTGGCATACATGGACCATAAAGGCACAACCACTTCTAACCTGTATTCACAGAAATACAAATACTTGATTATTAAACTATTTTCCTTGCATCAGAACCACAGGAGGTATTACAGGTATTATTATATATTGTATTATTATTACTATGATTAAATTGAAGCTTTGTGAAATTCAAAATTATTGAGATCAACTATAAAACTAAGGACTGAAAAGATGTTACGAGCCAAATAAAAGCTCATTGTGCAACTTCTGTCCCTTTTTGTTTCTGATGAAATTAAGTAACCACATTTCATGCTTTTGCAAATACCCCTTTGCGAGGTTTGTAACAGCAGAGTTTTTACAGAATAATCTTCCGCAAAACATGCATTACTTGAAAATATTAGTAAAATTCTATGATTCAAAACTACAAACAAAAGTGACAATTCTGCATGTAAATGACTGAATTAAATAAGTACATTTTACCTGGGGGGGGGATTAAAACATAACAAAAACCCCGCAACACATGACTACTTTACCTACCAGAGCACAATGATCTCTGTTGTTCTGACTGGTTAATTCTGTAACAGTGCTAGCAATACTTGGACCAAGCAAAAGCTCCCTCTGGTCGAGGTAACATTGATGGATTTCATTGAGAACTTGTTGATACCTAGCCAAGAAATTAAAACAGTAACTGCATCCTGAAGCTCACCTTCTGGTAAACATAAAATTCATTCTACTACCCTCTTTTAGGTCTACATAATTTCAACTTTTAAAACTTTCTTTTAAACGAATAATGTGTTAAACAGTACTTAAACAAAAGTAAAGATTTTCAAAACTTAAAATGGTTGAAAATAAATTATGTAGACATACTCACTCTGGCATTTTTTCAGATCTTTGCTCTACTTGTTCAATAAGAGTCTACTCAATAAAAAGAAAAAAGTATTATCAGTAAATGATTTTTTCTAATAATTGGAAAATAATTTGCAGTATTTTTTCCATGGACACAATATGCAATCTTTGAATATTCACACTTGCACAATATGCAATCTTTGCATTCACACTACTAATAAATTCAACCCCCATTTTCATAGCTTCCTTTTTAACAGTTAGTTACCAGCCTACTTACTCTGACTTTGGGAGCAGCTGCTCTGAATTTTACATAAAACAGAGTGAAGGCATTGTCAGAATTTGGCACAGCTGAAGGATCCTGAAAGAAGAGATGAGTAATTGGTTAAAAAGGAAATTGGTAAAAAAGGAAAGTACTATATTCAGCTTCTAGTATTTAGTGGCTGAGATAATCAGGCTCTAAACCAGGGTATTGGTTCTTTACATTTATACTGCCAGGGGAACAGCTCTTTGCCGCTTGCCATCTAGAAAGCCAAGCTTGTTTCAGAACTCAGATAAAAAACCCGTAACAAAACTTTCAACCAACAGCCTCTACAGCAAAAGTAACATTTTCAGTAATTACAGCATTCTCCATTAGAGAGAAAAATTTTCTCTGGACCTGCCACAGTAGTACCGACTGTTGCTCCTTAATCTGTAGTACTCAAATGGAACAAAATTTCCCTTTTACCTGCCAGTCCCAGGGTGGAGAAGCTAAGTTTCGGCTTGCATTCAAGCCTCCACTGGAACATCAAGCTTTGAAGCAGTTCCCCCTGTGGCTCCCCAGCTTAGCTGGGCAGACAGCTTGAACTTAGACAAATTGTAATGCTAACGAAGCAGAGCGAAGACACAATTTAGCCACCAGGCTTTCTTCCCCTTATCCCCACTGATGACAGAGAGAGAAGCAGATGGCTTTCCCTTGAAACATGGTAGGGACAGGAAAACTATTCCACTTCCCCATCTCGTACTTTCATCCCTGTGGGCAACCTGATCATCCTTCTACAAACACAGATCAAAATCCCCAAACACTCACATGTGAGGAGTAACAAAGAACATCTACATCTCATCAGTCCCCTTCCGGACCTGACAAGACCTCTTGTTGTGTTGCAACAGGAAATCTCAACACTTGATCGCAACTAAAGACCACTGGTCCAGTACTGCACTTCTAGCAGAAACAGACATTAGATTCCCCTCTCCTTTCTCCTCTGCCAAAATAATGCAGCACGAGACTATTAACATTTTAAAGAGGCCAAAAAAAATCCCTACTCAACTTTATGCCTAAATCCTACTGGAGCAAGTGGGAGTAAAGCACCTAACTCTTCCCTGTGACTCTCAAACATTGCTGTCAACATTTTAGAACTAACCAAAAGATACTGCCAAAACTAGTAGGAACCTGTCACATTTGTTCTCTGCAGCTATGCAAAGCACTGCAGACTTACCAAAAAGAAATATTTAGATGACGAAGAGCACCCAAAAATACTTACTGGAAAATAATAATGAAAGTCATGTCATGAAATCAAGAGTTGTTGTGCTTTTAACAGTTTTCATCTTACAACACCCAGCTCCTGTATACTTTCTTGAAGTATTCCCTGCAACCTCCTTGTCTCTGATGATCCATCTCCAAAACAGACCCCCACAATACCCGTATTTCTCTTGTGCACCCTCCCCATTTGGCAACACAGATAGCAGCATGCACTGCAGCTGATTCAGAGCTACAGTGCACTGGTTCAGGAAAGCGTGCTGTCTGGCCAGCTGGTTGCTGCCTCTCTAACACAACCGTTTATCCATCCCCAGGCTTCACTGAGGTTACAGTTCACCTACCTCAATTCAGCTACTTCACCTTCTTTGATTTCCAGGATTTTTTAATTATTACTATTTTTAAGTCTTTTGGATGACTAGGTCTCTGTCAGATTTGGCTGAAACTTGGCCAGTCTACACAAACACTGTAGTATAGGACTGACCTATTTTCACACAAAACTGCTGACACCTCCCACCCTCAAAAAAAATAAAAAGAGAAGAAAACTGTATAGTGTTACAACAGACATTTCGGTACAGCTCGAGTTACCACTTACTGATTCACCTTACCCTTTTCATTAACTGGCTTGTGAGGTTCTGTAGTGTATTCACAGTGTATGTCTTGATAAGGTGCATAGCTTTAGAAAGGCATTGTTTAAACTTAATCAAATATACAGGATAGTCTTTAAAATTGGGCTGAAAGAAATAAAAAATCCATTTTAAATAGGAACAATAAGAGAGTTGAAAATTTATCTAAACTTAAAATACTCTTTTCACTAGTTAAAAATGCTAGTTTGTACAAAGTAAAAGCAGTATTCTATAAAAATTAAGCAGAATAGTAAGTATATTCAGTAAAAATTTCTTAAGTTTATAAACCATCATCTTTGCTTTCTTACTGTATTTGGCAGAGAGAACACCGTATAGGGGAAAAAAAACCCACTACAAAAATAGTATCAATAGTATGAAACTATTAAGATTTAACTAAAACCAATACAGAATTACTTACATGCGATGAAATATATGCAATACAATCATCAAGCTTAGCCAGCATGGGAATGAATCCTTCACTGTTCACAGACAGCGTAGGGGAATTCAATTTCTTTGGAAAACAAGACAAAGCATCATTGTGAGGAACCCAAGTAACTTAGTGTTGGCAACAAAGTTCAAAAGATCGGTACGCTTTCATTTTCTAAGACCATTAACAGTGAAATAATACTTACTGTGTTGATGTTTTCCAGCTCATTAAAATAAGAAAGTTTCTGCTGGATGTTTTCAGCCAGGTCAACAAGTTCCGACTATTAAAAAACAATAAATAAAAGAAAATCAGTGACATAGCAAATAGCTTAAATTATATATTGTTATATATATTA